AAATAAACGCATTATTAAAAAAAATAAAAATACTCTCCGATCGATTTTTTCAAAGTGCATACGGCCCTTCAGAAAACGCGTTATTGTTTCATACCACAAGCAAGTACATGGGCAAAACAATTGCAATATTGACGAAGAAAATTATGATGACCATAAATAATGACGCAAAATCAAAAAAAGTTTGGGTTTCAATGATTTTCCTCAAGACGTGCAACTACTGCAGCAGTTTTCCGGCAACTTTTGTCAGGAAGGTTGTGATTTGACTCGGAATATTCCATCGGTTACAACAATTTCAGTGAGGAACAGCCCCGTACTTCTGCCTTGTGGGGAGCACTTCACATACACACGTTTCGTTTTACTACATTAAGAAAATGTTCCACTTAGATGTTACATGAAAACATACATAGATTTTTTTCCATCTTCCAGATGTCTCTTCCATTTCACGTAAATTTTACGTTTTTCATATGCAGATCGCTTAACGGCGCCGGTGGTGTAGTGGTAAGCGTGATTACCTCTCACCCCAGAAGGCCTGGGTTCAATCCCAGTCGGCGCCACCGGGATGTTCTGAGGCATAACATCTCTGATCACGCCTTCCTTCGGATGGGAAGTAAAGCCGTTGGTCCCCGGTTCATGAGTTGATGGGTCGATAGGTAGGGTCCAGGTATGGGAGCTGCCTTCCTGGCACGTCGGTAGCATTGGTGCACGGAAAACAAGATCGACGGAAAAAACAAACCAAAGGAAAAAAACAAATATGCAGATCGCTTCAAAAGAATTGATTCCAATCTACATATAACTCTAATAGGTAGTATAGGCATTTTACAGTAAAATCTAAGTGAAAATTATTCAAAGCAAAACGATATTTGCCCAATCCACTAAAAAGCAACATAGAGTTTATGGTACCTTTATAGATTTTATTATATTTTCTCTTGAATTTTAGTAAATTTCTTCGTAGCATGCACATTGTTGTTAGGTGTTCTAAAATTGTTTTTCAAAACCACAAAAGTAACTGCAAACCAGATTTGATTTCAAAGATATTTTTTGATTTATTTTATTGTTTATTTTAATACTTCAATACTAATGGCTCCCGATAACACGCCCACCACAGCCCTTTGAATAATATCTTTTCCTTCTTCTGTAGTTAAGGATAGCACCTCGTAGTAGCGTATCCCTGGAGGTAATTGCTGTAACACTGAAACCTCCGTTTACGAAGTCTTTTTTACGCAGTATTCAATTTACGTCCCTCTTTTTACGAAGTAAATCCCAAATAACGAGGTTTTTTTTACGCAGTAAATTCCAAATAACGAGTTTTCTTTTTACGAAGTAAATTCCAAATAACGAGTTTTTTTTGTGATTTTGGGAAACCGGATGTCGATGTCTGACGCCATTTTGAAATCCAAGATGGTGGCTTCCGGTTACAGAAAAATTGGCAAATACCACCACGTCAGCCCGATTCTTAAGATACCCATATTGTAGGTTATTTTACATTATTTTTATGTCTATATGTAAGCGGAAGTCGCCATATTGAATTTCAATATGGCGTCAGACATGGGTTTTCAGTCCTAATAAGTCACCCCGATTCCAAAAACCCATATTGTGGGGTATTTGACAGTTCCCAGTGTTTCTGTAACCGGATGTCAACATCTTGGATTTCTAAATGGTGTCAGACATGGATTCTCGTTTCTCACAGGTTACGCCGATTCCAAAAATATCCATATTGCTGTGTATTTAACGGTATTTTTCTGTTTTCCTGTAACCGGAAGCCGCCATATTGGATTTCAAAATGGCGTCAGATATCGATTTCCGGTTCCTAAACGTGGTTTATTGTGGTTTATTTAACATTATTTTTTTTTTCTGTTTTTCTGTAACCGGAAGCCGCCATATTGGATTTCAAAATGGCGTCAGACAACGATTTCCGGTTCTTACACGTCACTCCGATTCCAAAAATACCCATATTGTGGGGTATTTGACAGAATTTCGAAGTTATTCTGTTACCGGAAACCGCCATCTTGGATTTAAAAATGGCACCAGATATCGATTTCCGGTCCCTACACGTCACTTCGATTCCAAAAATACCCATATTCTGGGGTATTTAGCAGAATGTCCAAGTTTTTCTGTAACCGGAAGCCACCATATTGGATTTTAAAATGGCGTCAAACATTGATTTCCTGTCCCTACACGTCACTCCGATTCCGAAAATACCCATATTGTGGGGTATTTGACAGAATTTCGAAGTTATTATGATACCGGAAGCCGCCATATTGGATTTCAAAATGGTGTCAGATATCGATTTCCAGTGTCTTAACGTCACTTCGATTCCAAAAATACCCATATTATGGGGTATTTGACAATATTTTCAAAAACCTCTTTTTACGAAGTAAATCCCAAATAACGAGTTTTCTTTTTACGAAGTAAATCCGAAATAACGAGTTTTCTTTTTACGAAGTAAATCCCAAATAACGAGGTTTTTTTTACGCACTAATTCGATTTACGAACCCCCGTTTTGGTTCGTAAATGGAGGTTTCAGTGTACTACTATTTGGGATTACACGGCACTTGCGATGTTAACCTGTTGCTTGGTCGTCTTGGAAGGTACTAGTTGGATTATCACTGTTTTAAAAAAGACTTCAGTTAACAACTGTTTTTGTTTACATAAACTGAAACTCCGTACCTTAATTGAAATTAAATTCTCCTTGAATTTCGAACTGCTGCGCTTTATGTAAGCCCAGTCGTCAACTTCGTCGGTTTCACGATCTATTGAAGCATATTATTAATAAATTATGTATCATGCCGAAAAGGAAACGACTAACTTGTCAGATAATTCAATAATTCCAATAGAATTTGCAAATCTAGCAGCAACTCGTGAGCAATTCACATGCCATGTTAGATTTTGTTTGTGTCATCACCACTTAGATGATTTGTAATGGATGTTATTAACGTCATGTGTTTGTCCGATTATTTTCAATATCTGAAGGTTACGTGTTTTTTTCCAGTGAAATTAACGTGACAATTTTTTTGAGTGACCTTCTGCTTTCTCACTCCCGCCACTCTCACTTATAAAACAGATATCATAAATGTAGGCTTAATTTAGCCAGATTGGACTAAACCGGACAAAATTAGAAAATGAGTGAATTTCTTACCCAAATTTGGGTAAATATAATCCATATAGGAGTTAGTATAATGCAAATTTTACTTAAATTTACCCATATTTACCACATAGTTGAGACCGCCTTACAAAGGGTTAATTTCTGATTACTCCGTTTAGTTTGTTATGAGTCTTAAATAAACTTTCATTCCTAAAGATATGAAAACAAATCATCGAGTATTTCAAAGTATGTTAGAGAAAATAAAGAACAGGGAAAATAATCTGTAAATTTTAAAACAACTCATTTGTTAGGTTGAACCTACTTCGTACCAATTATATTACAAACCGTGGACTTGTTTTCCCTTAATAGTAACATTACATTATCTTGATACATGATATAATAGCTCTTAAACTCTAAATTCCGTAAACAGACCGTTTCAAGTGCCAGTTTTTTTCCTTTATTTAGGAGATTTCAAGCCGTAAGCTAATTCATCTCCGTAAAGGGTGGGAAGCCTGAGAAAGAGGTCCCTCAGCCACATTACTTGAGTATCATGCTAAAAATATAAACAGCTAGTACACAGTAAACAGAATACGAAAAATACAGAGTAAAAAGTTACAAATGTAACCTTGTAACCTGTTATCAAGCTAAAATGTGTTCTACAGCATCAACTATAGTATAACAAATAACTCTACATCATTTATAATGTTCAAGAGTTGATTGTTTCGTTAATCCAAAGCATGGCCGTCTCCCCCCATCGTCCCCTACATTCTTCTCCCTTCATGTTTGTTATCCGGTTGAAATTGGCACAAAATCGACTGCTGTCCTGCTATTGAGCACTGAGTGCTGCCCATCTTTCCTATTCTTTCCTCTTTTCTCGTCTGACAAACTCTTCAATGGGAATCATTTGTCATTTGGGAAAACTCGCGCTCGGTTGGTAATTTCAATAGTTCCACTAGAACTAGGTGATGGTGGCGGAAGATGTGGATGTGGCAGCTATGATCTTTCGTTCCTGATGACCTTTTTTGAGCTCTGCAAGTGAGCTGGAGTGGAATGGTACAGAAAGGGAAGAGCATTGTGCTTTCGTTTGTCGAGTTTGAGCGGAATCTAGAAGAGAATGAAATGATGCATAATTTCAATTCAATTGATTTGTTTTCATATCACGACTTCCCTATTAGCATGGGAGTTTGCTCAGGTGGAAATTTTGGTGGAAGTTATGTCATTATGATAACAGTGATGGTGGCTTTAAAGGAGAAGCGTTTGGTATTTTAAAGTTCGGATGGTAAATTGATATCGAAATAGCTACATGAAGAGCCTGGTAAGTGTCTTGATTTGTAGTAAGTATTTAATCATAGAACAAACAAAGATGTTAATGGAGAACTCGGGTTATATTGAACAGGCTTAAATTCTAGGTATTTCTAAATGTGTATGTTAAGCTATGTTAGCACGATCCAATAGTAAATGTTTATGAAAATAGCTTTAAAGCAGATCCAAATAATGCAATGAAAGGTGGTTTCAAGCCGATCGGAAAGCTGTACAATAGTGATACATTCGTTTCATGCATAGGACATACTGGTCAGCATCTGTTGCACTCTAAATAATAATGTTGACCATCTTCCACTGCATTGCTTTCCGTATGGTGCTTCAGGCAACTGACGTGTGATTTGCAGTGTGTGTATTTTTCGAGGAACGAAAGTATGAACATAGCTATACCCATAGCTACGACAAACTTACCCTGTCACACATGTGAACGATAAGCTTAGCTTAGCGTATAGGGGGTGGCTCAGTATTTCACACGTGTGTTTAATAGTTGGTTGTGAACTGCATTTTCGGTTTTTTTGCTATAATGAATGCTGAGTGGTTCTATTGTATAGTATTTTATATGAAAGTTTCCATCAGAATATAGGATATTAGATGGCTAACGTGCTAGGCAATTAAGAGGTACATATATGCATCCATTAATTATGATTGTTATCCTGCCGCTGAATTACGTAATGCGAAGGATTGAATTGGATAACACCATTTAGTGCTCAGGTTTCATGCCATTCAATCATTTTTTCAAGCCCTACCAATAATCCATTCGTGTGAAAACCTTTTTCACTGGCAGACAAAGCTTCCACTTCTCCGAATTACCATCAATTGTGTAGTAAAAGCTCCTTCTCTCCACCATCTACTACTCCCATTCGAATTGGAGCAGAGCTTTCATTGAGCACAATGTACGCTTCTGTGCCATATGATTTCTCCGAAGCTGTCGAGCCGAACATTCCCGATTGCTCGTCCTTATTTCTCCTTGTAAACCGAGAGCCCGGTCCCAGCATGCAAACATGGAACTCGTGTTTGAAGGACTTCCACCGGCATACGCTGCTCGAGGCCCAGTTTAAATCGGAACGTCGAACGGGAAACATCGCGCACAACCAAACATAATCACTCAGATAGACATAGACATACATAGATCCAACTATACACAGACTCTGCACCACCTACCACCGGCACTACACATCCCTGTCTATCAATACCTACACGCATAGAAACACCACCCACTTTTTCACCTCACAGACGCTGCAAATAAAAAAAAAACGTCGTTCCCCAACTTCCCATTGTTGAAGTGATACAAGAAAAAAAAAAAAAAACTTTCGAGTGGAACATATTTGTTTGTGCTTTTCCTCGTGGTCGTCGCTATCGCCGTCGCCGCTGTCGTTGTCGTAGTCGCCGTCGAAGCTGCCTTCGCTTTCGTCATCATTGCCCGTCGTCGACCGTTTGTTCACGTTTCTCCATTATTAATTATAGGACTGGTGGTTTCTTTTGTTGCCACCCTTCACTTTTCGGTCCCGAGCTGATTGCATTCGAAGGATCACACTCCAAGAATTGACAATTTTCTCCCTTCGACTTCATTTCCTCATCAACCCATTGGAGTGTGAAGAAAGCTTTGTGTGGGTTTCTCGAACAGTGTATTAGGCCCGTCAAATTTCTTGGAAGCATATTTTGGGAGAGTCCAAGCTGTGCACCGTGGGGAAGAGGTTGACTGATGAGCCTCAATTGAGAGTGTAATTACTGCGGGGAGCATGTTGAAAATGATCAGTGAAATTATGCACTAGTGCAGTGACGAAATTCAGTGACAGAAGAGGATGCATAATAAATTCAAGTGAGCAGTTCATTCGGTAAATGAAGCAAATGAAAAATGAAACAGTGGTGGCATGATTGTGTCCAAGGATTTGCATAAGCCATGCGTTTCGCTCTGGAATTGATTCAACCGGAGATTATTCTGGCAATTTGGCTGAAGTGATGAATACGTGCATATCTGAATAAACGGATGCAGTGTGCAGAACATATGAATGCCGAAGCGGAAACAGTTCGGATTAAATTTAGAAAAAGAGATTTTTGTGATTAGCAAAGCATTGAATTCAAACAAAACAAAATATATCATCTTTTTTGGTTGAACTGGAAAAGACTGAGTGCCAGCTACAATTAATGCAAGTTTGATTTACCAACAGAAGCTTAACATTACGATTAAATTGTACAGTTAAAGTGTAAAGCAGTGGTGCCCAACACGTGGCCCGTGGGCTACCTAAGAAAATGGTGATGTTTATTGAAGAAATTGCTGTAGGAACTGTCAGAATCCTAATCCTATTACCTATGCAGAAAATGGCGATGTTTATTGAAGAAATTGCTGTAGGAACTGTCAGAATCCTATTTAGACGTTGCATTTAGTGTTTGTGAGAGACTGCTTGAAAAACTCAATTGTATCGGGCATTGAACACTGCTCTACCGTTTAAAATTGCGATTATTTAAAAATAAAATTGGTGACCAAGATCTGCAGAATAAACCGAATTTTGCGAGTCTCTTTATACGGAATTATTCATATTTTTGTGTGTACTAGGTATCACATTTGTAGTGGCTCCAGTGGTATAGTGATAGACGTGATTACCTCTCACTCTGAAGGGGCTGGGTTCAATCCTAGTCGACACCACCGGGATTTCCTGAGGCATAAAATCTCTGATCACACCTTCCTTCGGAAGGGAAGTAATGCCGTTGGTCCCTGTTCTATGAGTTAATGGGTCGATAGGTAGGACCCAGATGTGAGAGCTGCCTCCCTGGCGTAGGTAGCACTGGTACTCAGTACGGAAAACAAGATCGACGGAAAAGGTATCACATTTTGATCTAAGGAGTAAAATGTCATGTATCAATCGACTCAGCTCAGCGAGATATTCAGTGTATCTCAAAATTGATCGTACACCCTAGAATATTTTTTTTAAACATGATACATAGACAAAAAAAAATTAAATCGTGCTGCTGATTCAACAGATGTTTATTGATTTATTGCTATAATTCAGGACCAACAATTGAAAAGTCCTCAACTCCATTTTGTAAACAAACCGTGTAAGGCCATTTTCTCGCGAACCGAAGTCCGCCAATGGAAACCAACAGAGTGAACAGGTAGGGGAAATTCTCCTCTACCCGATTGTGTTTTAGTTTGCGAATGTAGGTTTCAGTTCACGAGAAGATGGCCTTACAAGGTTTTTTTACAAAATGGACTTGAGGCCATTTCAATTGTTTGTCTTGGTTTTAGATCTATTTTAGTAAATCGCTCGATTTTCAACTTTTTACCAAGTGGACGAATTTTAGTAAAAAGTACATGAATGATCTTTATTACGACTAAAAATAAGCAAAATTTCAAGAAGTTATGTTCATTTTTTTTCAAGAAATAGTCGTTTTTCTTTAATTGATCTAACTTTTTGTAAACTCAACCAAATATGCCCAATACTGAGCCAATAATTGATGAATGTATGCTGAGTCAGCTGCCTAACATTTAGAGACGTATTTTTTTAACTTGTGAGCCATTTTTCTAAAATTTAAATACTGCTGTACGATCAATTTTGAGATACACTGTATATGCTATAAACCTGTTTATACCCATGTGTACCGCCTGTAAGGCTCGGGACCACGGAAAAGCGACTACTTCGGCTGACTTCTCATAATCTTAAAGCTTTGCACTGCCTCGAACCTAGGACAGTCAAAGACCACATTCTTCGGTTTTTTGCCCAAATGTCCCAATTCCCGACAGAGGGGAGACCTTGCATGTCCGAATCGATGTTGATACTGCCAGAAGCAACCTTGACCGAATTGCGTCAGTTGGAAGTTTACCTCTCCATGCTTTCTGTTCACCCAGGTCAAGATAATTAGTATTAGCTTGAGTTATTCATCTACCGTTCTTCGCCGTGTCCGATTCATGCTGCCACTTGGCCATCGACTCCACTCTGACGCGCTCCAGACTCGCGTGGCCATGAGTCTGAACGTATTGTTGAATTTCACTTGAGTCCGCATAATTTGGAGTGCTGGACTTCCGTACATCCACAGCGTTAACGAAAATACACTAAGCATCGATCGTGGTGCAGAGTTACTTACTTTACTTTTGCTGGTCCGGCATCCTTCAGGATTTCACCTGCACCAAAAAACTCGGTTCATGGCTGCTTGTCTTCAGTTTCTCGAGCGTCCCATACTTCCTAGATGTTGCTCCACTTGGTCTAACCACCTAACTCGCTGCACTCTTCTGCGTTTTGTACCAGCTGGATTCGAGGCTAACACCATTTTTGCGGGATTGTTGCGGCATTTTCACAACGTGTCCCGCCCATTGTACCCTTCCAGCTTAAGTGACATTCTGGATACTGGGTTCGCCATAGAGTTGCCATAGCTCGTGGTTTATTCTGTCCTCCATACACCATTTTTGTATACTTCGCCTCTACCGGTCTTATCAGCGTCTTATATATGGTACACTTAGTATGGGAACACGGCGAATGAGAACGACCCAAATTTGAGTTTAGTTCACTCATAATCGCCAAAAGTGCAGGAACGCAGCGATGAGTTAAATTCGTCTCATGGTTTCCTGTGGAACACCTAAAAAATCTGCCGGAAAATGAGGAAATTGACGAAAATTTTATTCAGTCTCGGAGTAGTACCAATAGACTGAGTGAATCCAATCTTTACTTTTCTCAAATTCGGGATTTTTTCCCTGGAAAAACCTGGGAAAACATGAGGCAAATTTACTCACCGCTGAGTTCCTGCACTTTTGACGATTATGAGTGAACTAAACTCAAATTTGAGTCGTTCTCATTCGCCGTGAAGTGAAGTATAACAGACCTCAAGGTCTTGTTGAGTCCGTAGAACGCACGACTTCCGGAAATAATCCTAAGTAAGGTTCCCAATGCCCTACAGTTTTATTTGAGTTTTATTGAAGTTTTATTCATAACTTCATGGTTTATAAAATATTTCACAACGTTCCAGTCTATAACAAACTCTATTTTTTATCCAAACTATTTGTGCTTAACAAATGTTAAATTAGGTATTATTGTAACACCATTTTTACATTTGTTTGATAAAACCATTATAAAACAAACAAAAATGTTTTTAGGTGGTTTTGAAAGGGACACGGATAAATCTTTATAATATACAGTACATTTATCTTAAAACAGCAACAATTGAATTGTTATATTTAGTGACCTAATTTTTTTCTAATAAATCAATGACAAAATAATTATAAAGCTACTCTATGCCATGTATGAATGGATGATTTTAGCAAGTTTATTCACAGGAGAAGGACAAGGAAGAAGGAAAAGAGCGGCTCACCCGCTTCTGTTTCTGATAACGCTTAAACATTTGGATGTTATTGTTCCACCTCTGCACGCGGAATTACTTAGCGCAATCAATTCACTTCCCGCAGTTAGTCTGGAGCCGATTTCTCTTATTGAAACAGTTTTACCACGGAACTTGTTTTGGTCACAATAAAAAAATCTCCCAGTGCTCAGGCGCAATTTCAAATCAAGATTTGCCTGTTTTTCAATAGTTTGTACACTAAAACTGTTCTGAATTGTAGTTTTGAAGCCACACTGAACTGACAAATCGATAAAACCATTTTGTTTTTGAATGAGCTGTTGTAAAACTTGTAGACCATGCACAGCTAAAAAAGTAGTTTAAATTTCCGTTACTATGATGCACATAAATGCAGCGTCATATATCATACAAGTTTAGATTGTAGATCGTGTAAATTTATGAGACATGTCATGCAATATTCCATATATTGTATGCAACTGTCCACTTTTGTTTGCAACATTTCTTGCAAGCTGCTTGTTTACGTGAAAAGGAAGTTTACATGGATGAATGTTTGCATGCATGGATGTTCACATCGCCAGTAAAATTTAGGATTTTTTGGTGTGTGCATAAAGCATAATAACTGTACGTAAAGCCGTTTAGCTAAGAATTGAATGATTTATTGGGGCGGTATGAGCATACGGTCCTATTGACGGATCGAAGAAGCATAAACAGCTTTGTTTGACAATTCTTCAAGAAATGGAACCTCAATTTCTGCAGCCGACCGTGGATTTGACAAAGGATTACGTGCTCGGTATCAATATTCGGCGACTGTGATAGGGAAACCACTTTTCCATCACGGAAACGACTCGTTTTCTGATGACAAAATTACACATTTGGGAGCGATGTGGCTGGCAGCAAGGCGAGCGAACGTTCAATAAAAATTAACTCTTAAAAAACAATAATTTATGGTAGCCCCGAAAAGAACCGTTTTGTCGCCATGGTTGAGTAATGCTGAGCTATTAAGGTGTTCAACACGGATGAGATTGGCGAGCTATATGTTGTTTGGAACGACGGTGACGTTCTTGACATAGATGGCTCACAGCGGCTCACAAAGAGCAACTGAATCCGATCATTAGCGGTGCGGCTTCTTCCTCCTTCTTCGGTGAATCGAGGGCTCTTGAGGGCAGCCTTGATATCTAGCTGCTTGCGGTGAGGCCATAGGCGTAGCCAGATAGGGGCAGGGGGGGCGACTGCCCCCCCCCCCTAAACTCGGCAACACAAAGGCTTTCGAGGAAATGGCGTTCGGTGAAATGGCATTCGGCCAAATTTTCCATGGTAATTTTTTTTTTCGCCCCTCCCTAGCTCGAAACCTGGCTACGCCCTTGGGTGAGGCTGTCGTTGTGTACTGGAGAAAAATGTACAACGCCAAGCACCGAAATCACTGCTGCTGCTGCTGATGATGATGATGACCGGACATCACAACATACCACACGTGGTGATTGAAAAAAAACACCGTTCGGCGAGACCGGATGGAATTTGATTTTGAATTCTGTGTATGAGAAAGCGCTTTTCGCAGGAAATTCGTGATAATTTTAATTATCATATAAACAGTTGCACATTCGTGCATTTTACAATAGTGACCTTTTGAAAATTTATAAACTGTTCATTTTAGCAGATTCGTAGAAAAATTCCCAATCGATTGACTTGTTTAGAATTAAAATTCATCTGCTATTGACAGAGTTATTAGGTGTCAAAACCTGACCCCTTTTCGTAACGCGGTCGGTTTTTTACTATGAAATTGCACCCCAATATGTTATCGAAAGACTAATCCTGCGTCAAAACTTGACATATCTACAAGTTTTCCCAAATTTCATCATTTTTTGGTGCATCAATGTTGAGGTTCTATCCATTTTTATGTTTACCGAAATCTGATATCTTTTTATGTTTTTTTTTTTTTTATTATTATTATAGTCACTTTAACACTTTTGGGTTATTCGTGACTTGTTTGGAGGTGAGATTTGAACTCGAGACTTTGGCGTGAGAGGTATGGATGCTAACCAATACGCCTGAGTCGCCCCCTAAAAATCTGATATTCGCAGTTTCGACGTAAAGAATACTTAAAAAAGCGGTTTTGATATTCCCATTAAAGAAACTATTTATCTCATACTTTCAGCAGCAATCAGATTTTCAAATCATTAAAAATGAAACATCGTTTTTTCATTTTATTGATTTCAATCATAAAGCGCTAGCTTTTAGGAATAACAAAACTTTTTTATGTCATTGATTTTTTTCCGTCGATCTTGTACCCGTTCTGAGTACGAATGTTACCCACGCCAGGGAGGCAGCTCCCACACCTAGACCCTACCTATCGACCCATCAACTCATGGACCGGGGACCAACGGCTTCCCTTTTACTGGGATTGAACCCAGGCCTTTTGGAAAGACAGGCACTCACGCTAACAACTAAACAACCGGCGCCGCTTTAAAAAACAGTTTTAATTAGGTTTGAACGACATTGGAGCATCAAAATAATAAATTTAAAATGCTCTTATAATGGTTATAACTCAGGCTCTGGCAGCATTCTATAGTGTGAGCTCTTCTGAACGCAATACAGTTTATATGGTTGGCAGGAACAACTGGCAATGCATCTAGTTCAAATAAGGTTTCCTTGGAGACAGCTATTAAGTAATTTTTAATCTTACACTGTTACTTGGGAATGCTTCTCCGAATTTCTCTGCAGCACCACCTCGAACCACTTCGTTGATTATCATACTATTGGTCCAGAGTTGTTCGGCATGACTCATTCTCGAGGTATAGCCGTCGTGGCTGTTGAAGTTTAGCCGGAATTTCAGCACGCGCTTCGATCGAGACTATGGCATGCTACCCAACGATGATTTGTGCCTGCTGCACCGCTTTGCAATTACTTCTTCTTCATTCCTTTATTTAACGTCGGTCTCTGTTCCGTAATCTAGTGCCAATCACCGACGGACATCGATTGCCATCCATTGACGGCAATCGAATGTGCAGGAAGGCAGCTTCCACACCTGCGTAGGATATCGCACCCATTCAACACACATGGGCCGGGACCAACGGCTTTACTTCCCTTCCGAAGGAAGACGTGACCAGAGATTTTTATCCCTCAGAAAAATCCCACCGAACTCGGCTGGGATTGAACCCAGACCCATCGGGGTGTTAGAAAGCAGTCACGTTTACCACTACACCACCGGCGCCGGCTGCTTTGCAATTACTGACCAACATCACTTTCGTTATGTGGTGGGCTTTGGATCGCTTTAGTTGCCAACATTTCCACCTCTTCTAGTGTCTCTCCTGATACCGTCAAGACGACGTCGCCCGCAAAGCCAACGATCCCGATACCTTTCGGCAGCTTCACCGTCAGCACACAGTTCCAGAGTCTAAGGATGGAGTCTTGTGGTACTTCCACTGTTATCTTTATCAATCTCTGTCCCATGTCTGTCTCGTAGACCAGCTCTCGGCTTTGGAATCCAGCACAAGTAGTCAGGGACCTTCATTATGTGTAAAACAATCATAGCTTGAAAACCATTGATTGAAAAAGTGGCCGAGGCAAGCCCGTCATTGTGGTTTGTTTTTACAATAGTTTATTTGCTTGGCATTTGAACCAAAATAAATTGTTGATAAAGTTAACAGTGGAAGTACCACAAGACTCAATTTTTAGTCCAACACTCTGGACATTTGAGTCCAAAAGGACTCTACGGAGCCGAGAACCATAAAATAAATTAATAATTACATTAAATTATTAAGAGCGTCTGGGGTCCATCATCACAATCTCTTCTTCCAGGATCTCAAGCGCTTCCTCATTTGGCGATGCACCTCCAGTCACTACACCAGCGTCAGACTGGTCTCTTCATCATTCCGTTGTTGGTTTTCTTCTTCCGTTCGTTGTTGTTCTGGTAATTTCCAGAGATGCAAAAACTTTGTCTCAAACGTCATATCGGTTGGAAGTGAAGTTTTAGAGTTATGAGTTGTTGAAAAATACAGAATACGCCATGTTAAAGTTTTTTGTGATTGACCACAACAAACAATTATGCAACGTTTCATGCAAATCGGAGAAGGTCGCTGCAGATCGATTCGTCATGTGGCGTGGACCTGCTCAGAAGCGAATCCACATCCAGTCAGTGAAATCACCGATATACATATATTGCTCACGTCAGGCGTTTTCATTTGCTTCCGTCAATAACCATAATGGACGTATAAACGAAATAGTAGTGACGTGATTCTTTCAATGCGTGTCTTCTTGGCGTGAAATTTGACGGGTCTTCTCAAAGTTAATACAATTACAAGTCATCATCCTTCCGTTTGAAAATAACAAACCGCAAAACTCGGGAAGGTGAAAAGAAGTGACTGTGCAAAAAACCTTGAACAAAGAAGAAAAGTTACTCTCCTCTTTAGTTTCCGGTGAACCGTGTTGAGACCGGCGATGGCAGTAAACGTGTCCTCCATTGGACGTTTGTTTTGACGCCTTTTCCATGTGCTTAGCAGCCCACAGAGAGACAGGAAGGCTTTGGCGCGATTTATTTGGCGTCGAAATTATACAAACATCGCAACTGCGTGGATCGAAGAATGAAGAACAAACAACGGCAACCACGGCCACAACCAAAACGACGAAGATGTGACTTCGAAGAATGAAAGAAAAATTTAGCACAGCAATAAAGAGGATAGAAAAACAACACGTTATCCCTGCGAGGTGCAAGCTGACGTGCGAGCAAAAGTGAAAGAAGTGAAAATCGATAACGTGATGCTAGGATAGATTCGTTCAGTCTAATCAGAATTACGCCAGTGGGTGGCTACAAACTTTCCAACCTACTACGGACTGGGGCGGTAATAATTAGCGTAGGCAGTTTGTACGTGAGTGAGGCTTATACGTACAGCTCCGACGAGATCGAGGGAAGGAGAGGTGATTTGTTTGTAAAGCACGACATCACCACACGTATGGTTCATCGAGGAGGTACTTAATTTGTTGAATATTTTCGAGGTAACTGTCGGCATAAAGTGAAATCCCCATAAACAAAGCTTAGTTCACCACGTGACAGCCGCTGGTAGATTTGGTAGGTACTTGGGTTGGTTAGGGACACGGTAGACGGAATCCTTATTTCATACAATTTGTCGAATGGCTTCGCATTTTCTCGGGCCCACATATGGCGATCTACTTAACGAAGTTCAAAATGTATCTGTTTTTTAAGCGTTTACTGCAGAGAAGTACAGTAATCTCTCAATTTATGCGGTACCGTTTACCCACCGCTATTTCTCGGCTGTCCTTTGATCAACTGAGTTGATTTTCTGAAGATAACTATTTCATGGTTGACCCTAATCACATACAAAAAATGTGCGTAATTGATTGAAGGACAGCCGAGAAACAGCGGTGGGTGGACGGTACCACCCACCGCATAATTGAAGGGATTACTGTAAGCATCGAGTACATATAAATTTTATATCTGCACGACTTTTGGATGTTGAGATGAGTGCCCCTGAAAACACGATCAGGTATTTCTTTTATGAAACTTGCTGATAAACTGCCTGCTCAAAATCTCACGAGTATTCTTTCTTAGTTTGTTGAACTGATGATCCATAACTTTTCGGACCATATCATAATCGTCAACAAAAAAAAAAATTTGAAGTCAAGTGAAATAAGGCTTAACAAATTGTAGTGATTATTTTGCTATGTTCAGTGTAGGGTAGATGTATCAGTTATAGCTATTATGGTGTATTTTAATTAGGGTCATGATTGGAACACACCATAATAGGAACGTATGGCTATAACTGATACTCTTTCCCTATAGTGAGAAAATGTAACATTTTGTTTTGCATGTTTTTTATGTCGTCAAATATTTTGACAAAAACCTAAATTCTTGACCAACAACTGAAAAGGGCGTATCATTTTTAGTAAACAAAACTTTGAATACCCTTTTCAAATGTACCGAAGCTAACTCAAAAAAGTAGTCCAAATTTATGTTACTATAATGCACATAAATGGAGCGTCATATGTCATACAAGTTTACACTATAAAAGGTGTTACGATCAAAATTTGGTCAAACAAGAATGCGTGTAAATTAATTAAAACGTATAACAAAAAAATCATCTTTTTTTTATGTATTAAGTTCAATTAGTATAAAATACAGAAAAAAAATACTAAGCTAAGATTCCAGTTAACTGAATCCAAATTTATTTAACTCCTCAGATTCTGTGCAGCTGTACTTTGTTCGCCGTAGAACGCCAGTTTTCCTTAAATTGCTTTTTCGCATCCAACAGTTTTTTGGGTCTTTTTCAGGTTCCGCTTGACGATGGCCCAATATTTTTCGATTGGGCGGAGCTCTGGCGTGTTGGAAGGGTTCTTGTCCTTGGGCACCACCTGTACGTTGTTGGCGGCATACCACTCCATGGCCTTTTTTCCGTAATGGCAAGATGCCAAATCCGGCCATAACAGCACGGAACAATCGTGTTGATTCAGGAAAGGCAGCAGACGTTTTTCCAGACATTTGTTCACGTAAATTTCTTGGTTGACGATCCCGGTTGCAATGAAAATGTCGCTTTTTAAGCCACAGGTACGACAGCCTGCCAAACCAGATATTTCTTAGCAAACTTCGACAGTTTCATATGCTTGAAAATGCCTTTCCTCTTCCGGTTGCCGTATAAATATTCTGCCCAATCTTCTGGAAGCTGTTTGAAGATTTTGTCGTCCATTACCACGCAATCGAACTTCGTCAGCGTCGTCGTATACAGCTTCCGGGATCGTGTTTTGGCCACCTTGTTTTGTTTATCATCGCGATTTGGAGTCACTACCTTTTTATAAGTCGACAATCCGGCTCCTTTTTTAGGTCGATCCACGAGTGTAGGCGACACTCCCAGCTTGTTTGTGACATCTCAGACGGAGAGGTTGAGGTTCCGCTTGAAACCACTGGCCATTCTTTTTGTCGTCGCTGGCTTCCGGATTTCGATTTCTGTCGACAAACGTTCTTCGAACACTATTATTACGTTGGTGACCGTTGATTTTAATGATGCCGCTAACTCGGCGTGCAAGTAGAATGTCGCGATGCGCGTGCAAAATTTGTATGCGTTGTTTCTCTTGTTTGGACGCCATTTTGATAACTGAAGAACAAATGTCAAAATAAAAACAGGGGCAAATTTTAATCGTAAAACCCCAGTAAATTTATGAGACATGTCATGAGATATTCCATAAATGCAACCACTCATCTTTGTAAGCAACTTTTCTTGCAAGGTGTTGGTTTACGTGAAAAAGGAAGTTTACACACAAAAATGTTTGCTTGTATGGATGTTTACATCACCATTGAAATTCAGGATTTTTTAAAAATAAAGAGTAAGGGCCCGTGAACTTTTCATCAAGAGCACTATCAGAGCTGATTGGTCAGTTTCCAGATTTGTTTCACGATGTGCCAGTTCTAATAGCGATTTTTAAGAGACCAAGGTTTAAAGCGTCAGATACACTATCCTGAACAAAACAGTGCAGGATACACGCTATTTCTAAACAACCCAAATTAGAGTAGGATCTACTAATATCCCCCAAAATTGAGTAAATAAAGTTCGGACTGACAAGATGGCGAATGAACATCTGAATCCGAATGTTAATTTGTTATATTGTCAGTTACAATCTTGTTTGCTCTATATTGTTTAGTCCTAATTCTAATGGAAAAAAGTAGATCTTACTTAAATTTGGATTGTTTAGAAATAACGTGTGCAGACAGGTGGAAAAACTCGCTGCACACGGCCAACGAGATCAACCCAAATTTGATTTTACTTTACTCATAAATCGCAAAAAGAGCAGGAATTCAGAAAAATTTACTTCATGTTTTTCCAGTTTTTTTTTCACACTTTTTCAAGGAAAAAAAAGCCAGAGTTCTAACGATAGGATTTTCTTGGTCTATTGGTACTACTACTAGACTGTGTAAAATATTGGTAAATTTTCCTCATTTTCCAGCAGATTATTGAGGCTTTTATTTGGGTTCATCTCATCGGCCGTGCACAAATTTGAAGGGACAACATCTGACTGGTCTTATAGAGATTAGTGACGTTTAACGCACGCACACTAGCGAGAGCAACGCCGTGTAAAGTTGTTTATTATTTGCCTCTGGCTAACCTAAAAAATGTATGAAAGTAGATCTGTCAAAATGAGTTTGACATCGATTTGTTATGTATTTTCCTCGGATATTCACTAACACGCTCTCACATATCGCACCAACACAACCGGACGTAAAAATCTCTACAGAGCTTTTCGACGTCTAATCGGCACACACTACTGTACAATTTAAATTCAACGAGTACGAGCAAGAGGGAAACACATTAGTGGGAAAATACACCGTCGATTCATACATGTGTGATAGATAGGGAAAGACGATTAAGCATCGAAAAGGTCTATTGGAATACGTAGGGTAGGATGGTTCAAAACGCACCCTGGCGTAAAATGGCCCTGCGCTGTTTTTCATCACTTTCAATTCGTTTCAATTCATTATGGCACATGATATTTCCAGAATTAGTAATGGATAAGCAACGAAAAACTGCACGGGGCCATTATACCCCAGGGTAGGGTTACCATATGGTATCCTAAAGGAGGACATGTCCTCCTTTTTCAATAATTTTTCTACGTCCTCCTTTTGCCCAAAAATGTCCTCCTTTTTGATCCTTGCATTTTTTCAGTAACATATTAATAAAATTGTTTTCAAAAAGCGTTGTTTGCAGAGCTTATTTGTTTAATTATGTCGCAACTTTATCTTATCTAGCAAATGCCATTCGATGGTGGGACTAGGAGTATACTACAGCTGTCAACTCCCCACATTTAGGCTGCGATCAAGGTTGCTGTCCATTCCGTGAATTTAACCTAAATTTGACGTATGGAAATTTTTTAAATAAACCTGCATATTTCAGACAAACCAGGAATCAATTTTGACAATCAATTTCTCGAAAATCGGACGATCAACAACAGATGGGTTTTCGAACATTATATATTATTTTCGAAGAGTCAGTGAAAATTCATCAATTTTTCTGTATTTTTACTTCAATTTGACATTTTGAAAGTAAATTATAATGTTCGATAAACTCTCTAGTAAATTTAACAGGTTGCTTAGATGTTCCATGTTGGTTTTAATCAGCGATGACATGTATCCTGATTTTTGTACATGATAAAGGCTGGGATGGTTTTAAGGCTGTAAAGCTGCAGTTTTTATTTCATGAATTAAATTGATATCTACCACAAGTTATGAACCATCTCAATTGAACCTTAGCAAATCATGAATTTTGTGATAGCGCACATATTATTAAAACGTTTGATAAAAACTCATTGTCCTCCTTTAATGTTAAGAAAAGGAATCATTGTCCTCCTTAATCTCCAAACCTCAAATGAAATGTCCTCCTTTTCAAGTTTTTGATATGGTAAGCCTACCCCAGGGGTGCATTATGGGCTATTCTCCCTTACATTCCACGATATTGCGTACGATTTCTTCTTCTGATGCTAACGCCCAAACAAAACATAAAGCCGTCCACTAACATAAAAAAAAAAAAATCAAGGGTTAACCCAATGTCAATTATACAAGGTCTGGCCCAACCGGCTTATTGGTATTAGTGAAATGTTAAAATGTCTAGTGGTGGTCGTATTTCATCGGAATGTTTATCTTTTTACACAAACAGCTGTTTTCTGTGACGACACGTCTGCTATTCGCAGTATGGAATGTTGTGCTGCCGTGACATCGGCATTCGCTTGCTTAATGTTTACAACATTTTTGCTTCTAACACCAGCAAGCTACTTGTTGTTCCAGACCTTGTATGATTGACATCGGGGTTAACCAACTCCCCGGCAAGGTGACAGATAATCTTAGTTTCACGTACCCACTTGCAAATAGTAGATGTCGCCACACAACGCAAACAAAGGGACTGCCCTTCACCGCCGCAATGGTATTTCTCTATGGGAAGGCAACTTTTTGTTTCACCATGTGTGGATGTCAAGCAACAAGCAAGAATGCCATGTGA